AAAGAGTTTTTTTTTTTTTTTTTTTTTTTTTTTTTTTTTGATAAAGTTATGTTATGTCAATTTCATCCGAAAGTCCTTTTAATAAGATAGAATATTTTTACAATATTTTCCAAACATATTCAAAACAGTTTCTTAATTTTTAATAATAATTATTGACTTTCAAAATTTATGCCAAACACTACATAATATATGTGAAAAAAAGTGGTGCAAAGGATAAGAGTGAGGTTAACTCACGCCTTGCTGGCAGCTGCAGTGTGAGGGTTCGATTCCTGAGACATAAAATTGGACTCTTCGTAGGCGCAGTATACAGACAACTCTTGTTCTTTGACTTACTAGTACACATTCCGTAATTTACCTCTTCCACAAAACTTTAAAAACGAGACGATGAGAATTCTCAAAATTGGGGTTCAACATTTTTTTTCTTTTTTAAACAAGTGTCATATGGAGCAAGTAGGCAAAAGAAAAAACAAGAAAAAATCTTCTTGTCAGAGAAATGGGATTTCTGTTTCAAATTGGTCCATTTTGACCCAAACGTGTGTGCAGTCTTCAGATGGGTCAAAGAGTTTGATTTACCCTTTGTCATTTTCAAAAAAAAGTTGAAATAATAAATAAAGAAATAGATTTTTATGCTACATTAAAATTTTCTATTAATTTATAGAGCATTTTAAAATGGATAAAGCTATTTTTTCAGAAGAATTTAATAGAAAACTTGATTTAATAGCATGTGAAAAATCAATGGATTGGATGAAAAGTTGACCATGTTTTAAACTATTGAATGATAGGATGCTAATTGACATTATGTCAAATGTCAAATTTTATGTTAGTGTAGCATGATTGTTTTGAAATCCATATTTAACATTTACTATATATGGAACAATTTAACATTAAGTTGTGCAATTAAATGAATGTTAAAAATGAAATTTGACCAACTTAGAACCTCAAGAAACAAACAACTCCTCTATGAGAAAAAGTAGACATCCTTGCTAAAATAATTATTGCCTTTGAAATAGAATTCCAAGATATATGACCGTCTCTTGTCTTATATATATAGTCTGCACAAATACTTATACATGACTAATCTTCTAAATATCGGTGCTTCACATAAAATATCGGTGTTTAACTTATGTTAAGCACTCGGATAATATAATACACTACAATAGATGGTGAGAGATAATGATTGGTTACAAAACTGACTACACAGCCGATTGTAGTGTTCCACATCCGGTACCTATGAGATCAATCTTGAATACTTATACTTGTTTAAGATTCGTTTTCGTTTTTGAATTGGAATGTTTTGACTGAAACCTTGTGCAAAGGCTTCACGAAAGAGATACTAATGAGATCAAGCTCTAGTGGCTACTAGGCGGCGAGAAATGGAGGTAAAGCATTCTCTTTTTCAATTTACTCTAATATTTTTTAATAAAAATATTAATTGCGAAACCCAAAAAATCATAATTGATTCACCGATTTTCGAATGAACAAGACGATTTCCTAGGCTTTGCACAAGCTCTCTATATATTTGATTTATAAACTGTGATTAGATTGACTTTCGATTTGATTCCCAAATTTTTTGATCCAATTAAATTTTGGCTTTCAAAATCTCTTTAGCTGATCACCAATACATGAGACAGGACTAACGAGCAGGTTTGGCTTTTTCTTTTTAAGTCCTATTCAACTTTGTCTGATCTAGCGTGACACAAATTTACTTTCTTTCTGAATAAAGTAAAAATGAAATTATTGTGCTGCAATATATGAAACTATATGAGATTGCCTCATGGCATAATCCAATCCAGCTGTTCGTTTATGATCATAATCCATTTATATCGCCATTTCACCATTATCTTAATTAAATTTGATATAATTAAGATGGCTGGCTCCAACAGCTAGCGTGAAAGAGACTCGTGTTAATTATCATTGAAGCTTCCCTAATTATATTGTTAAAAAAATGTTAGAACAAATCGATGTTTAATCCATAAATGTCATTCTACACTTTCTTATCATTAGACTAAGGGCCTGTTTGATAGGTTGAAAAATGAAAATTTTTTACACCCAAATGGTATATTTGACACCTAAAATTTTCCATATAATTAATTTTCCTCCCAACCCTCACGTGAGCACATTATCCAAGTTTTTAAGGAATTGATTTTCCTTTAGTTTTGGTGGGAATTGAGTTTTCCAGCTTTTTTTTATTTTTGGCAATGGAAACAAATTCTATCCATAATTATAACAAATTTTATCTCTTTAATTGACAATTTTCATGGAAAACAAAGCCAGACGAATATCAAAAGATCCAAAATTTTAACATTTTTCAAGTAGAAATTTGTACTAATCAAATACATTTAATTGACAATTCTCAGTAAAATAAGTTCTAGACAATTCAATTCCATGAAATTCGTCTTCTTTCCACCCAAATTCCATTCTTGCAATCAAACATACCCTAATTATCATAAACCTTGATGATAGATAAGTAACTATTGAAAAATAAACAATCGAGAAAAATTTTAAAAATACATGTACAAGAAATAGATTCTGGCCGTCCATCTATGATTGATTCAACAACGTTTGTTGGGCCAACAACATGAAAACAAATCACTGATATAATAGATTTGAGATATTTAATTCATTTTACAAAAAAGAAAAAAAAATTGCAATTTCTAAGTAATTAATTATTAATTAGAGAGGTTCTGTACCTAAATATCCTCACAATCTCAATTCATGGG